ATCTATCTATCTATCTATCTATCTATCTATCTATCTATCTATCTATCATCTATATATCTATCAATCATCTATCTACCTATATCTATCTCTATGTATGTATGTATGTATGTATGTATGTATGTATGTATGTATGTATGTATCTAAAGATAGACACATAGGGAGAGATAGAGACAGAGACAAAGACAGATATAGGAAGAACAGAAGCAAAACTAGAATTTGGGTCCTACAATTCTGATACTCCCCTAATGACCTAGCTTTCTTCCACTAGAGCTTACTTCTGGACATTTCTGTCACCTCCTAACAGCCCACCACTTGAGACTATGCCTTTAATACACAGATATTAGCAGATAGTCATCGTCCAAACTGTGGCAGTTGAAGTTGCAGCAGATTATGTCCACAGTTAGGTCACTGCCAGCTCTTATCTATTAGCATCGTGAAAGAGGCATAGGATTGTCCTAGTTTGCTTTTCAGAGGCTGCGATCACACACTTACCAAACCATTTTGGAGGGGAAAAGGTTTATTTCCACGTACATGTTATGGTCCATTGTCAAGGGAAGCCAAGGCAAGAACTGAAGCACAGACCATGCTGGAACACTGCCTATTGAAGTGGGCTGACCCACTTCAATCAGTAACCAACCACGTCAATCAGTAATCAAAAAATGTCCCATAGAAATGCTCACAGGTGACTCTTACGGAGACAATTCCTCAACTGAGGTCCTGTCTTCCCTGGTGACTTCAGTTTGTGTCAAATCATCATCATCTTCAACAACAGCAACATAACCAGCACATGGGCCATGGAGGAGAAATGAGATATGACATGTGGAACTGGAAGCTAGTTGGTGACATTGGTTTCCAGTCCTAAGGTGTGCACGGTGAGCAGGAGATTTGGCTTCTAATGGGAACCAGCATTTCCCGGTGTTTCACTACCAGAAATACATTCAGTGATAAAGCATGAACCATGAACCCTTCATGTTTGTGGATTCTGTGACTTCAGATTCAGTCAACCACGGGATTCAACCAACTGCAGATTTTGTGTTGTGCCCTTAGCTCTATAAAAACTGTGTTCATAGTGAGCACAAACTGACTTTTCCTTGTCATTCTCCTTAAATACGCCAGTGATTTACACAGTGTTTCTGTTGTACTAAGTGTGATGATTAGTCTAGAGATGAAGTACAGTTCCTAGGAGGATATGTATAGGTTCTATGAAGAGACCGTGCTCTTTTTATATGAGGGGCTTGAGAATCTGAGGATTTAGGTTTCTACAAAGGATCCTGGAACCAGCCCTGGGCAGATGCTGATAATGGCACAATTATCCCCGCAGCATTCTTTGAACTTTGTGTCTTTATTGAGACAAGGACTGGGGCGTAGATGGTTTATTTGGGAAGCAGGACAAGGGAATCAATCAGGCCTGTAAGGGGTAGAGGTAGGGGCAGGGCAGCACTGCTAACAGATGCTCAGGAGGTCACTGCTTGAGTAAAGGGTGCAGGGAAGTGTGCAGACGGCCCACTAACAGAGAAAATCTGTTAGTTATTCCGCGGGTCCCCGTTTCCAGCCCGGGGGGGGGGGGCGGTTAGCTGTCTCTGGGCTATACCAAGCGAGCTTTTTGGAACAGAATGTAGAAAATGTAGTTGCTAGAGAGGAGGATGCTGGCAGCAGAGGTGGACCTGGGTATACAAAGACTGAATCTGGATCTGTGGCCTGTTCAGAAATGGCTGGGGAAAGTGACACACAGGTAAAGGAGGTGTTTGCTAGACTTGACCAGAATTCCTGTGCATGTATGGACCTCAGCCTGTACTCATCTCTCTCTCTCTCTCTCTCTCTCTCTCTCTCTCTCTCTCTCTCTCAGCGGCTGGACTCTCAGGAGTCTCCAAAATACCAGGTTCTGAGGACATTCAAGTTCCTTGTAGAAAATGGTATACGATTTGTACACAACGACACAATCGTCCTGTGCATTTTAAACCATCTCTAGAGTGTTTATTATGAGGTGAATTTCTCACTACTGTAACAGATACCCAAAGTAATCAGCTTAAAAAAAAAAGGTTTGTTGTAGCTCACTGTTTTTATAGGGTTCATCTCATAACTGATTAGCCCTGTTGCTTTGGGTCCGTGGTGGTACATCACAGTGGAAGCACGGAGGGAGCATTTATCTCATGGCTGGGTACAAATGAGAGGAAAAGGAAGAATCTGGGTCCTACAAGGCCTTTTGAGGGCATGCCCCTAATGACCTTGTGCTTTCACTAGCCCTACACTCCTGTTTCTGTGCCTCCCAGGAGCACTAAGCTGCGAACCAAGCCTATAACACATGGGCCTTTGTGAGGCCTTTAAGATTAAGCCACAGCATGTAGAATACTTAATCTAACATGAATGCTGTGGAAACTGTTCTTATACTGCATTGCTAGGGAATAACTAGTTTTTTTTTTTTTTAATGCCTTTGATCTGTGGTTGAATGAATCCAAAGGTGCAGAAGCTATAAACATGGACTGTTGACTACTACAGACAGACAGTGAGCCTTTCGTAGCCTACTTCCTAAGGAAATTTGGTACAGGGATGCCACTGTGATGACACTCTTGAACATCTACGTAACTTTACCCATACTGATTTAGGTAGCTGAAAAAGATTCCCTACAACTGTCAATAAAGCTACCCATCTCTGGGGAACTACTGTCCTTTGATATATGCTGGAGGAAGGGGAGACATTGTCTCCAGCTGTATCCCCACTGGTGAGCCCACCACGCTCCAGCGGGTAGTGATAAATTCATCATTGTGAAGACAGCCCTGGTTAAACTCAGTGGGTCTCAAAGTAAATATAACAGACTAGAATGTGGGAAAAGAATTTGTAGGGAGGAGGGGAATTAACAGGAGTAGGAGAGAAATAGGAGAAGATAGGGGGTGGGTAAGAGCATACAAGATGCATTCTATATAAAGGCATAAACCCATCAGAGAATAATTTAAAAAGAAACTATTAATAATATCAATAAGGAATACACTTTATTTTTAAAAATTATTTCTATAGAAAATAACACAAAGTCCTTATTATTAGGAAAAGCTCTTAGTATACTGACTGCTGGGATTACTGGGAAGTTTTAAGGAGGGCCATGGAAACTTGACTGTTCCTACCTACAGCAAGTCTGCAACTGTACTAAGAGTCTCAGCTTCCTAGGCCACCTTTAAGTAACCGACAGGGAGAGTCTCAATCCCTGGTGCAGACCCTGTGTAAGCTGCTAAGCATCCTGGGGTGGTTTACTATTTTAGAAGCCTTTTCTAGAACAATAGACTGCTGAGCGGCATGGATATTGCCATGCTTGAAATGATCCTCAAAGTACTTTTAAAAGGGTGTTTCAGGGTTACATTGGGGAGACTTGAGGTGGGCATCACATTGGCATTCATGTCTGTCCCCCACTGTGAGTAAAGTGGTCTGCAGAGAGGCTGCTGGAGAGAGTCCTCTGGACCTGTGGCCCAGCAGCCCCTGGAATGGGTGGGTGGGACGATTTATTCATCTTTCTCTTCCCCAGTGATGCTCCTTCTGAAGATGCTCAGTGTCCTCCTTGGTCTCCAAACACCTCTTCAATCTGGGAATTGAATGGGTTTTCCTTTCCTAGGACATGAGGCCATTGGAGCTGTATCTTCTTCCAGACACGATCTGCTAGCATCAGTGAAGCCACCTGCAAGAGAGTCAGAGGAGGCTTAACAGAAAGGAACCAACCAGCAGGCTTGGGATGGCGCTCAGTTGGCGGGGAGCTTGCCTAGCACACAGAAGCACTGAGGCACATGCCTAATCTCACCACTCAAGAGGTAGAAGCAGGAAGACGAGAAGCTCAAGTCCATCCCTGGGCTACATGGTATGGCTGAAGCCAGGCCTGTATATGTGAGACCTTGTCAAACAACAACAAAATAACAAACTGACCATCATGATTTAGTAATCCTTTTTCTTAAACCCTTTATCATATCAGTGCTAATATTATCGAAGAGAAACAATTTAAAAGAGGAAGAATTTCTTCTACCGATGGCCTGCAGATACATCATGGAGCAATAGTATGGTAGAGGGCAGTTGTTCACCTCATGGCCAATAGGAAGCAAAGAAGAAACAGGTAGGGCCTAGTGTCGAGATCTTCCTTAAAAGCCCACTCTCAGGGACTCCCTTGCTTCAGCCGGGTTCCATCTCCTAAGGTTTACTTCACCTCTCACAACAGCACTGTTAGCTGGAGATCCTTGAATTTAACATTAGAGTCTGGGGGACATGTCTCATTCATAGCTCAGCATCTTCCATGGTGTTAAGACCTGAGGACCATTCCTGAGACCCCTGCTTCCATCTTTCTGTATTGGATCCCTTCCCCTGCGCTGGGTGGGGCTATCACTTTATCCTAAGTGACACAGTGGTGATGAACAGATGTCACATCAATGGTTGTGTTTCTTTATGTAGAACTTGGTCTTGCTGGGCTGATGACATCAAGAAGCAGTGATCGGATGCCAGCTTCCAGCTAAGGTACAGGAAAAAGCTGGGTCTTCTGCCTAATGCCGAATCCTCAGCCCAAGTAAGTGTGACACCGTTTTCCCAGTTCTGTCCCTGGATGGTCCAAGAGCCCAGGTAAACCACTTTGATTTTATTCTTCTGACATCTGAAGGACAGGACCAAGTTAAACTATGACCATCAAAACCTTCAAAGTAACAGATGTATACCGTTTTAAGATGTATATTGTTTCCTGGATTTGTGACTTAGAAACATAGAACAAGCACATGTTCTCAAAAACCCACTGCTGTATTCCAGTAGGCAACTAACAATTCTTCTTGTGGCCTAAGGCCTGGGTGCTGATGAGTAGAGGAAGCCTCCCTGGGAGGAACTCCTGGTCAGTCCAGGAGCCAGAGAAGTGGAATGACCCCACAGCTGGATGGTTGTGAGAGAGACTCTCACACCAGAAGGGAGGAAATATTAAACTCACATGGAAGGGAGAGGGCAGGCCTTCTTGGGAGAAGCTGAACTTTCAAGCCTGGGTTCTGGATGTTTCTTGGGGAAGCTGTGAATATGACAGAGGCCACAGTGTGTACAGATGACACAGGAGAAAAAATGCTGTGGTCACAGAGCCACAGGAACCCGTAAGATGAGGGTGGACAGGTAGATTGCTGGGGCTTGGATTCTGAAAAAGACACTGACTATGGACTGCTTGGCTGGAATCCAAGCAGGCTGAGTACCGGCTCTCTCGCCAAATGCCACTTTACTGGCTTCTGTAGCTTTATACTAGATTTTCTGTATCCCCAGTGGCAGCGGGATCTAGTCTCGGTTGTCTGGTCCTCTGCCCATCACCATGTGCCCTGGATGAGGATTTTTATTTTTTTTTTTCTCAGCAGATGATGCATTTAGTAAATGGGCCTGGCTGGTACTTGGGCCAAATGGCTATATCTCAACAGTAACATCTAATGCTGAAAATAAGAAGAGTGTGATTGCCATGGGCCTGAGAGAGGAACGCACTGTGGAATGGAAGGGACAGCATCTTCAAGGGCAGTTCGCCGTGGCACCTGACAGTGCAGCGAGACATCAGGGAGCTTTTCGGCACTCTGCGGGTCAGGTTGCACCATAACTAGGACAGAGTCAACGATCAAAAGCTGTTTCTGGGTCTGAGCTTTGTGTAATATTTTAGTAATTGTTAGAAAAAAAAAAAGAAGCCATAACCGACTGAGTCATTGCATTAATCAGCCCTAGAATTTTTATGCATTCCAGAACCTTCTGAGGCAGACCTAAGAAATTTCAATCCAATTAGACTTTCACTGTCAGGTATTGAGGCTCGAACTCAGTAGCAGCTTGTGCATGCCAAACAAACACTACATTGTGTGTCCCCCTCGGCCATGTATCCAATTAAGCATGTAACCATTTTGCTTCTTTTTCACTTTTTTGGTACTGTCTCTTAAAACGGTTTTTTTAAAATTAATTAATTATTATTATTTTTTTTATAAATTACAGTTTATACACTTTGTATCCCAGCTCCCTCAGCCCTTCCCAATCCCCACCCCCATCTCCTCCCATATCCCTCTCCAAGTCCACTGATAGGGGAGGTCCTCCTCCCCTTCCCTCTGACCCTAGTCTATCAGGTCTCATCAGGACTGGCTGCTGCTCCCCCCTCAGGGGGAGGTGATCAAAGAGCCAGCCACTGAGTTCATGTCAGAGACAGTCCCTGTTCCCCTTACTAGGGAACCCACTTGGATACTGAGCTGCCATGTCTTACATCTGTGCAGGGGTTCTAGGTTATCTTCATGCATGGTCCTTGGTTGTAGTATCAGTATCAGAAATGACCCCTGTGCCCAGATTTTTTGGTTCTGTTGTTCTCCTTGGGGAGCTCCTGTCCCCTCTAGGTGACTTTTTTTTAAGAATATTATCTACAGTTTATTTGCTTTGATTACCAGTTGTAGCCCCCTTCCTTATCTCCTCCCAGTCCCACCCTCCCTCTCTCTTTCTCCCCTATCTTGTTCCTTAGTCCACTGATAGGGGAAGTCTTCCTCCTCTACTGTCTGACCCTAGCCTATTAGGTCCCATCAGGACTGCCAGGAGCCTCTTCCTAGGTGGGCTGGCTAGATTGCCCAACCAGGGAAAAGGGATCACGGAGCATGCAAATGAATTCACATCTTACTTTTTAGTAAGCGTACATACAGGGGTTACTCATGAAATTTTCATACATGCATATCATTTCACTTGATGTATCCATCCCATCACTCTGCCTTCCCTCCTTCTCCTGGTTCCTTCTCACTGAAAAGATGCCCTTCTGCTTCATCATTTATGTGTGCATGCACGACCAAAAGCATGCACACGAGCTTGCACACATGTGGATCACAGAACCTTTAAATCTGGTTCTGCATATGAATGAGAACACATGATGTCTGTCTCCCCTTTCCCTTTCCATATCCTCTCTTGTCCCCCTCCCTACAATTAGGCTCTATCTTTTCCCATATAGCCTTTTTTTACTTTCATCACATACATATAGATTTAAAGCTAAATTATGCAAATGAGAGAAAATGTGATGTTTCTCCTCATGTTCATCACGATGATTTCCCTTAATGCGATGATTTCCAGCCACATCACTTTTCTATGGATGACGTGATTTCATTCTTTATGGTTGAACAAAACTCCACTGAGCACGTCACATCTCCGTCTGTTCTTTTGTGGCGTCTAAGCTGCCTCCATACATGGGCCGTTGTGAATAGTGCTGCGGTAAACACGAATGTGCAAGGGTCTCTGTGGCGTGCTGATTCCAAGAAGCGGACAGCTGGATCACAGAGTAGATTTAGTTTTGTGAGGAACCTCCACACTGATTTCCTCAGTGCTACGCTAGTTTATATTGGCCTAAGTATGCGAACTTGATAACATCCATACATCACATTAGAGAAAACATATAATACACAGTATGCACACAGCACACACGTCGGCTACACACACCACACATCTACCGACATACCACATACTTTCTTCTTTGTACTGAAACTCAGCAGTAAGGCTCACGAAGACCACTGGCCTGGGTGGGAGTACCTCCCACACAAGGCATAGATGGTATTTGAGGACGGGAGCTTGGTCTTCCAGCGACTTTTCCTGACATTCCTCAGTAAAGGATGCTGCTTCCAGGTCTGTGGGAAGCTACTGGCGTGATTTTTTTTTTAAACTTTCAACTTGACACATTTAAATTGTCTTTTTAACGATTATGAGGTAGCAAGGCCTTTGAGGGCATTAATTTCCGTATTGTTAAGGGAAGAGATAGGGATGAAGGCACGAGGAGGAAAGTGAAAACGAATGAGCTCAGATTTGAGTTTGTGATGACTGATTTGAAAGCAACTAATTGGCTGTCACTCTAACAGAGATTAATGTATTTGTGAGTGTGCACTGCTGAAATACTGTGTCTACAATGAGACTGGCATGCCAATATGCTAGAGACCTGTGAGGAAATGATCTACTATAGGCATTCATTCATTCATTCATTCATTCATTCATTCATTCATTCATTCATTCATTTCTCTTCACTGAGTGCCCTCTACGGGCTTCTCCTCTACCCATTGTCTGTTGCCATTCCCATGATGCACCACACAGGGAGACAAGTAGTTGTCTTTTACTTCCTTTATTCCATGCCAGTTCTTTTTTAATCACAGTCTAAGTCTTTTGTTTGTCTCTCTTCATGGTTTAGGCCCGTATAGTTATTCCAGGACAGAAAATTTAACAAACAAAAAACAGAATAAAAATGATTTGTAATTAAAATGGAGGCATCCTTTCCTAACACTGGGCATAGGTCTTTTCAGATTACACATACACATTCACTCATGCATACAAAGGTATGTTCATCTGTACATAAAGTATTTAAAAATACATACTTCTCTAAAACGAAATGCACAACCTATAATGCTAACGCTTTTTGGCAAACAGTCCTAGGAATGTGGCAGAGGCACAGAGTTGTGTTATTGTCCATATACTTACTTGGCTCTCCATTACCAGCATATTTCCATGTTGGTCTATTTCATTGTAAATGTAGATTTATATCACTGTCTTTACCCTGTCTTTACCTTTACACCGTCTTTATGCTCTGTATTTCATCAGACTGTATTTATTTTACAGACGGACACTTTATTACACATTTTCCTGGTGTTCAAGGGGGTCTTTTCCAGTCAATACACACATCCCAGTGCAGGGGGTACC